TACACATCCAACAGCTTCCATCTTTGTTTCTCCTTCAAGAACAGTGTTCACTTGTTATAAAAACATAATGTCTCTGTTCGTAGCCGAACTGTGTCACGCGAAATCACAGAAACACTGACGAAATTCTCGCGTTCACGAATCTTGCCCAGTACTGGAAATGGCTGCAAGGACAAAGGCTATATAGACTGGGACTCGCTCCCACCTCGATTACCCATCGAGTGACTAAGCTAAGCCGAGAGGTGGGAGCGAGTGCCTGTCTATGGGCTATAGGCAGCGCGCAGGCGGCACACTGCTTTCCAACTCCCGTACGAGCCTCGCCATTGGAACGTTGCAAAAACGTTGCAGCATTGCGGCGCAAGAATGAGGTCACGAAGAGCGCCGGTAGGTGTTTCCTGATTCTGACAGCTATTTCCATTACTGGGCAAGGTTCGCGAACGCGAGAATTTCTTTAGTCTTTGTGTGATTTCGCGTGACACAGCTCGGTTACGAACAGAGACATTATGTTTTTATAACAAGTGAACACTGTTCTTGAAGGAGAAACAAAGATGGAAGCTGTTGGATGTGTATTCGTGCTGTGAAAGTGTCAAATCAAGCGAGCGTCGAGCGAATAACATCGTCCTAACATCGGATAACTATTTCTAGCCTTTAAAAGAAGCCCAAGATCGTTTTTCTAGGTGCTTGCATATAGCGGGACGAGTTAATCATAGATGACTAGTTACAAAAGGAGTCTGTGCAATTTTCGCGGTAGTTTGCCGGTGTCATGTTTTGAACATAAACATTGTTCCAAACCACCCATTGTCAACTCAAAATGATAAGAATAGATTGTAACATAATTATTTGATATCTCCTGCTTATAATACTTATATGCTATTATGCTATATTACTTACTTATACTTATGCTATATTATTATACTTATATGCTATTATATGTTATTATGAGCTATAATACTTATATAAATTTTATAGTTATCATATTGTAAAAATCCTCCAAATGTGCTGTTTTCGTGATTTTATTGACTTTTTGCTCACGTGACTACAATGGCTAACATGAGATGTGCACCCACATATCCCCGTGCATCAGCGGATATTACTTTGAAAGGGCAAGTGAAAAAACATGTTCTAACTTATGGAAAAGGAGAAGAGGATGGAACACAGTGACTTCATATTTCAGTAATCTGGTATAAATGAATAGATGAAATAGACGGTATATAGGGTAGGTAGGTATAGGTAGGGGAGGAACATTGTGTAATAACTATAAGTATAATAGTTATGTTTACTATTGAAATGTTATCTCACCGATGGAAAGTATTCTTTGATGCTTTTGACTCCTTACATCTAACAACGTCACAGTTGTATGCACTACAATACAGTGGCATGATATATCGATGGATGCAATATGGACGGATATCGATGAAATCTCGCAACCTATATGCCCATCGCAATATGCAAAAATGCACTTTGTTCTGCTATATATATATGCTGTAACTATGACGTCATAATCGGAAACATGAGAACATCACATTGGTCTCCCAAGATGGATACGGCAAGTTCAAGCGCAAGTCACGATTGCAGGGGTTACAGCTATACTGGTACCAACCTTCACTTCGCCAAGTATCCTTGGCTACAATGAACTCAGTTAGTGTAGCGTGTGGAACTGTCGAGCGGGTACCAGTCTAGCTTAGCCGCCGAAGCCGTGTGCAGAAAAACTAGGTGGAAATGCCATGAACATAGCCTCGTTGCGCCATCTATCGCACGCCATATGTTCTAGAATAATGTCAGGGCATGAAACAGCAAAAATGCTAACTCGCTTTTCTACAGGAAAACGAAGCGCGCCGAGCAGCAAACCAACTATTACGACCATTTGTAGGAAATGTCTAGCTACGTGCGTAGTCAAAAGGCTTGTGGAATCGCCACAACTGCTGAATTGAGCGATTATACGGCTTTGGTGTATACCCAAAGGGACCTGGGTGAGGTGTTGGAAACAGTGCAGCGAAGTTGTGTTAGTGTGCCGCTAAGCGACGTTTTTCGCGCTTCGCGCGGATATCCGGGCTGCCAATCGTCAAGGAGCCGAGAACGCGGGAGGGGAAGCAATAGCCAAACTCATGGCTAAGGCTCCCCGACTTCTTGCCGAGTTATTGGGCATTGTGACAGCCTAGACACTGGCCAGATTTCACATCGAACAATATAGTAAAATAAGAAGTATAATGCAGCAATTTAACCATAAAAAGTGAACAGAATTACTTATATTTTGTGAAAAAGTGGAAATATTATTTTATTTTTTTACTATTTACGGTGACGTAATCACTTTAAACGAAGAGCTAGCTTTTGTATTTTAGTTTACAACATCAGAAATACGTCCATATAAAGTCAGGGTACGGTGGGACATAGTCCGAAATTCTTCTGACCAATGCCCACACCGACGATTTTGGTTGATTTTGTGTGGGTTAGATCATCAAACCCACACCAAATCCACCAAAATCGTCGGTGTGGGCATTGGTCAGAGGAATCTCGGACTAGGTGGGACAATGCAGGGTACACAGCGACATATCGTATAGTACCTCGAGGTACTTTCTGATATATCGAATCGTACCCAGGGTACCCTCCGATAGTACCCTGGGGGACATAGACCCTATCAGCATAAGTATATCGTCTCGATTATAACCAAAGGATATAGCTAGTCAACTATCATTGTTTATATCTAGTATTTATATAAATGGATATGGAAAATTATATAATCTAACAGATTTCCAAAGGATGATCAGAGGCGGAAGGAGTGGACTGAGTCATTGCGTAGAAAAGATTTCCAGCCTTCAGAGGCATCTTCGCTTTGCAGCGAGCACTTTACTGACGACTGTTTCGACAGAACTGGTCAGACTGTGCGATTGAGAGATACAGCCATTCCCTCTATTTACAATTTTCCTGGCCAATTCAAGGTCGCATTATGTGTAGGTCTATACAAATAAAAATTGCCTTGGAAGAAAAAGTCAATAATATCATTAATTTATACTATTTATACTATTTATACTAGTCCCTACATGTATATTAAATTGCAACAACATACCAATTAGATGAAGCCATTTTTATTATACATGAATCCCAAGATATTTACGGTAATCAGACTTTAATTTGTGCTCATATAATTATTTCGTAAAATGTTATACATTCCATGTCTAATTATTTATAGCGTTTTACATTTGTGGATTTACATTTTACGTTTTTCACTAAACTTTTTAGCAGAAAAAGAAGTCCATTAGCAAAAAGAAATGCCAAAGCAAGACGTGTGGTGAATTAGTGCCTATAATAAGCCCTACAATAGCCCATCCCTTCTCTCTGCATTTTCTACAGGTCTGTAATATATTCTATTGTTTCATGTCTTGTATTTATAACTAAATATAGATGAGCAATAATAAGAATCTCAAAAAATGTTGAAAGAAATTAATCTGCTAACATCTATAAAATTTACAATTTCCTGCATTTTACAGGAGCATGCATACGCATTAACAACTGATTTGGATGCCCTCAAAGTGAGAATAATGGCTGCAGAAGCAACACGTGATTACAAAGACAAGTCTTTACGCAATTCAAAAGCGAGGGAGGCACGTTTACAGGTCATGTGCTCCAAGTTGTGTCACAAGCTACGTGCACATAACTTGCTGACAGGACGTGTGAGGCAACAACTCGATCGAATATATTCTGGTATTTTACTGCATTTATTAGTGTGGTTTATGATCCATTATCAAATTTTCAAAAATTTACGTAAACATTAAACTAGAAAATGCATGAAACATTCTGGCACATAAGATATACCAGTAAAATCGCTAACAGAACATTTGGTGTGCTTTTATCTGGTTACAGATCATTGTTACCGAGTTGGAAACCTGGTTTAGCCTATATTCACGTCCTGGTGAAGAAGAAAGTAGAGTTATGGATCCGTTTGGCTGTGTCATTTCTCATTTGACATCAAAAGCCAGCAAACTATAGCTTTCATTTGCTTGGGGAGCCATTCACCAGCGATTCATGGAATTGTAATTGAACCAGGAAATGTAATTGATCGGTATGGGGAACCGTGAGCAAATGGCATTTATGTCCAAGTACTGAAAATTGAGGGACATGCAGCAAGCTTAAAGATGTGAAAACTGTTAGTGCAAGCTGGGCATGGTGCAAGAACCCCAACCATTTTCCGTGGTTCAAAATGAAGAAATACCCCGATGGCTGTTGAGTCCAACAGAAGCGGAATGGAAACACAGCAGCATGGACTATTCAAATGTAATTACTGTATTACAACATAATGGAAGTGTAAACATGTTATATATGTTCCCATGTTCCTTGCAAACAAAGATGTATATTGACAGAATTATTTTTGTTATGAACTATTTGAATGTGATATCAGACCCAGCAACCCAGCTACACAGGTGGTCTATAAACTTGAGTCTCTGAGTAGGCCTATGTAGTTTGACCTTCTATGGACATGGAAGCAAATTCGTGATCATAAACTCTGCAATTTTATGTTAGCGTCAGAGACGTGGGAATATTCACTACCTATTTTCGTTTCTACAAAACATTAGGACTTGGGGAAGCTGGTTGTGTTGTATTTTGTTCTTCTGTTATAAAATGCGTAAAAATGTGAAGGTGCAACGGACCCTCTTTTCCACTTCTTCTAAAACTCCCTTACATCTACCTCCAGGACCACATCCACTACATTCATAATCCATCCACCTGATTAATTCTTCATCCCATCTACCTTTCTACCTTCGTCATCATGTACCTCTCTGCATTTCCGCCCATAAATACTAGGCCTACCTTCGTCACTTCTTCACTTTTTGAATCTCATACACCTCTATCCCTATAAACTTCACTTCTTCGCCAACTCCTCAATATTCTGCAATTCCTTCTTCCCCTATCCACTCCTTATCTACCTCCTCGTGAATTTATCCCATTCCGCCTCCTTTCAGCTCCCAGCTCTCATCCTCCTAGGTGCACTCGCGTCAAACCTACGGGGTTTTAGTTCAAATATTCTATCAAACCGTAAAAATATATAGGGACGCTAGTCTAATGTGTTATTTCTATGGATCAAACACTAAGCAGTGGCGACATCTACCAAAATAGCCGTCGTTACATGAGAGATATCGCTGGGGATTTCGTTCATCGGCTCGGAAAATACTTGTATACAAATACAAATATTAGAATATCAAATAATGGCTTAACACAAACTTACTAATTTCGCCCTATTTTTCCCTGCTTTTGCTGTGATTGAATCCCAACTCATTTGTGCTACATTTTCCCTACAAGTTTTAGTGATTTCGTCATAATAATTGAGTTACTGCTACTCTGTTAAATGATATTGGATTCTGGTAAATGTGAACTGTGTTAATCGACTACCAGGAAAACATTGATATGTATGGCATATTTGTCAATTTATTATTGAATACTAAGTAAATTGGATGCACATTCAACGGTTAAAATGTATTACAATCTATATTGTCAATCATCTATATTGCAAATTGGTTCTATACTGCCGCTGGCAGTATTTATAACATGCTACTTTTATTCTCATAGTACTTAAAGCCTTGGTGTTTTCACTCGACTAGTTACTAAGTTGCAAGTGTAAGCATATCAGCGGTTTTAATTCACGTTCGTTCGTCACGATCACAACCCAATTCCTTGACCATTTCTTTGACTCTTTGACTTTTCATTTCGTTGACTCTGCAACGACAAACGCAAAAACATCAGGATAAGGCAGATTGAACGCGTCTTTTACCCAGCCTTTCATTCCAGTAGGAGGCGAAAAAAACTCGCAAAATTCTCGTTCGTGCTGACGGACAATCCCGGAGAACGCCGCTCACCTCGGGTCACCATTTAGCATCCGCGCGAGATCTGCACTCGTGATGTTGGCACGCGCTGGTTAGGGTTAGGGTTCTAGCTCATCTAAACTCTCAAATCGTGAATTTATTTCCCAAGGCGTTATTTCGAAATCTAGCGCCACCGCCGCCATCTTTGTCTCGTTAAGTATGAAAGCGAATGGACTCCCGTAACCGTACCCTCGAGACATTAAGATACGGCTACCGTACCCGTAGCCACTGCCGAACTCTTTTCCGAAGTAGACACTGCACCAAAGACCCGGCCCAAGGATAGAGAACATGGGTCCCAATAAAACCAATGTGAATGTGCCTAACCCTAACCCTAATCCTAACCCTAATCCTAACCCTAACCATAACCCTAACCTATTATATTGATATAATATTATATTTATATTGATGTAAATGACATATTGGTTTTATTGGGAACCATGTTCTCTATCCTTGAACCAAAGACCCTATATATACTACTAGTATATTGGCTCTTTGACTGCACTGAAGGCGAACATTCTAACCATAGAAATAATATACTAGGTATAAGTATAGCTCATAGGGTCTATGTCCCCCAGGTTACTATCGGAGGGTACCCTCGTAACCCTGGGTACGGTTCGATATATCGGAAAGTACATCGGGGTACTGTACGATATGTCGCTGTTACCCTGCATTGACCTACCGTACCCTGACTTTCAGCCAACTGATGTCGTAATACATACACTGTCAAGTTACCACATCACATAGAAGAAACCTCAAAACATCGCAATCCAACAAAAATGTATGCTATGTTTGACTATATTTTTCTTTTTTCTTTTTTTTAAATTGACTACCGGTACGTCACGAATTTTCTATGGTAAAATTTGCAAAATTTTTGCTGCCGTTTTTTTACATTAAAAGTAAGAACTAACGGGACTAAACGCAGGCCCGTAGCCAGCTTTATATTGGGGGGGTTCGTTTTTCAATGATGGCAATTT